GGAATGCCTAACACCTTCTCCCGGGTTAACAGAATTCCTTATCCGGATTTTTGGTTCGCGGACTGTAATATAGAGTCAATCTTTTCATCGATTCGGGATTCAACCGGTGACTTGGGACACCATAAATCTCCCAAGTGGCAACTCTGAATTGAATAATAAATCTCGTTTCGCTTGTCCTTTAATTGAAAAAACTCCCCTACGCCCCTGCGGGCGCAGGTAAAAAGTAGGTGTGACAGGAACTACCACAAAATGATCGTCGACAATATATTTAATACAATATAGTGCACAATATTAAAAAAGATTGTGAGGATCGGACTAGCAGTCCAGACACTTGAAGATGTCATACCATTTAGATACAANCCATAATTTTATTCTGACAACAAAATATTCAGCATCCGATTGGTATGAAGAGGCAATCCAATAGTATATCATAACTAGTCTCGGCAACTCCAATGCCTTCCGCTCCACGTTCCTCCACATACGTAGCAAAATTCCATTTTACACCTGAATCCACAATTTATAGGATATAGAAGAATTCGCCCAAAAAAGGTCCACCTAATATCTTAATCTAAAAGAAGAATTAACCCAAATAGCCATCCACTTAACTGCTTATACTAAAAATAAGCAGCTAATGTATAATATATATATATATATATAATATATGTATTATTTTGTATAATTAACCTGCACGTCATGTGTATTCCGCCATCAACCTTCTCCACAATGGATTTGCACTTAGGGCATTCCTTCCATTTTTTGTTCTCAGCAAGCAGCTTAAGTTTTAGTTCATCTTCTCTGTTTTTTTCTTCTATTTGAAACTTGTCACAATCACGCCCAGTGTGCCAAGGGACTCGGCACTTGGCACAGAACAGTTTTTTGCACAGAGGACAAATGCATTCAATGACCTCTTCATGATTATCATGAATGAACAGCCCAGAACATCTTTTATAAGGACAATAGAATTTTTCACTATTAGGAATAGCTGACTCGGTCGAGCCTTCTTCCCACCTTGCAAAAGCATTTACTGGAATAATAGACCTACAAGATTCAGGTTGAATTACGACACCACATCTCAAACCTGGACAAGTTATAGGGAAAATGTTGTCGCGAATCTTGGATTGGACATATAGACCTATACAGTGAGAACAGAAAGAATGACGAGAGCAGTACTTTTTCGAGGTTGAACATTCGATGTGCTCCCTTTTTGTTTTTCCAAATTCCACAGAAACCTTGGGAACTTTCATAAGAGGCTCCAAGAACATGTTGCATCTGCAGTTTCTCTGCAAATTCCATATCTGATATCATGAGAGCCAAGTCATCAATACGATCTGACATTGAGTATATTAATAATGTACTGATTGGTTTAAAAGGCTTAATTTGTTGGATATATTTGCCGATTTAGCCGGACTATTGATGTATACGCAAAGGGTTTAATTTCTATATTGTGTTTCTATTAGGTAGAGAACGTCCGTTATTTATATTAAGTCTTTGTCCATTAGAAGAGTTATCCAGAAAGTTCTTGGAAGGGAACAATCAATTTCCCACGTAAAAAGAATATCTCTAGATGATGCAAACAACTAGACGTTAGCAATTTAGCTAAGCTATGTTAACTTCTTATGCTGATCATGACATATGTGGGACAAAGAAATGGCGGTTTGAAAAATTATGTGGGATTATTAACTCAGCTGAGGAATCCCCCTTTGAAAATTTGTGAAAGATAATAACCCGCTTTTGAAATTTAAAAAAGGCAAAATACATAAGTAGCCATCTGAACTTTACATCAAATCCCTGTTACACACTTTCTGAGGACGAATATCATATTACACACGAAACCTTTCAAAATTGTGTCTAGTACACACTACTTTTTTCTTGACCAATTTCTCAGAATATGTGTAGTGTCACGCACCAATAACATCATGACACGTGTTAATAATTTTTTTTAAATAAAAAAATGCTTAAATTTATGTTGACCAGTTTCTCTTTCATAGTCTTTTTCTCTTCCAGAAAAAACCAGAGGCACCATACCATACTTCAATTCTTCTCTTTATGTGAAGACCCACTTTCTTCATCATCTTTGTTCTTATTCACCACTATTTCTCCTTACTCTAAAAATTTATTACCATTTTTTGGTTTCTAGGTTTTGTTTGCTATAGAAATACCATTTTTACCGATGGGTATTGCCACTGTAACAGTGGGCAGAAAATAGAGGTCACCATCGTTTGCAATTTTAACAAAACGAGACCAGATCTGAATGAAGAACCACCAACTTATCGAAAAGATCTGAGAGCTTTACCCCGTCGGAGAAAATCTGACCTCGTCGGCCATGAACTGACAGTGAAAGTAACGACCTGGCAATAGAGGTCTCGGCGTTGCTTGAGGTCGCCGCCGGCATTATGAGTTATGATCGAGATCTACTTAAAGGAGATGAAAGGGGGAGGAGATGGGAGGCGTGGGAGAGAAAATGGTGTTGTGGTTGTCGCCGTATGCCCAAGACGGCAGGGGGGCTCCAAATGGGGAAGAAGGCCGGGACATCTTTATCTTTTCTTTTAACTAATAATTTAAGAAAAATAAGGAGAACAAATAAGATTTGGACACATGTGCGTATATAAGGATTTGGACAGATAATGCATAGGTTTTACGCGTTCAGTGTCTTTTGTTAAACACACGCGTGCCATCTGGCAAAAGTAGTGTATGCTAGACACAATTTTGAAAGGTTGCGTGCGTAAATTGATATTCGTCCTCAGAAAGTGTGTAATAGGGATTTGGTGTATAGTTCAGGTGGCTACTTATATATTTTGCTTTTAAAAAACAATGTACTTGAACAGTTTTTAAATTAGAAAATACTTGGAAAGGGAGATCCCGGAAAAAAAGAGCATACTTATTAGAAAAGTATCATCTGTATGTTCTTTTTTCACAACATTCCCTATCAAAAATTTAGAATGTTTTAACACTCTTTGATATATTCTCAATGTTTAAGCTGATGCCGTAAATTTGATATGCGTCACGCGTACTCTATTGTGAGTATATATTTATAAGTTAAATATAAATTTTTAAATATTAGGACTTTATGCATAGTAGTCCATATAGATAAAAACGAAGGCCGAGAACAATGAGTTATGTACCTTATTGACGCAGCGGAAACCGTTGAACTCACCACCTAAAGAATTGCCTCAAGTCGAACTTTGAATCACCAGGAAACAAATCTTAATCTCTGATCCTCGAAAGAGGTGAACTCGATTTCATATTTAACTTTATATTCATAATTACATTTGATACCCTCATGGTAAATGTAATGGTCGGCCTATGAATACAAGTTAAATTACAAAAAAAAATTATTTATTTGTCTTCCCTTTCTACTCGAATATTTCCATTCCAAATCAACTGCTTTCCTAGACATGCACTTGCATTGCCGAATCACTCATGGCTATTAGTAACATGCTAAAGTAGCAACATTGATTGGCACTTCAAGAAACAGTAAAAGGTCAAAGGGTATTCCAATAAAGGCTAATGTAACTTCTTTGGGATCTCACACAATGAAGAAGTAGGGACTCATTCTTCCATTATCCTATTGGTCGATAGCACACGTGGTATGAAACACATACTACGGTGTTGTCACCTTATATTGGCGTGTGTGTCTTATTCGTTTAATCATCCAACAACGTACAGATCTTGGTCTAGATACCTTCAAGTATCTAACCCGAGTTTTTCACTTCAATAATCCTCAAACCATTTTCTTAGAGAAACTCATATCTGGCTTACAAAATAAGCCATAATCGAATAGTGAAATTCGTAAGCTGTCAAGAACGACCTCTACAAGTAAATATAACCCCCCATTATCCAAGGTTCTATAAGGTCTCATCTCTTTACGATTCTTAACGTAAGAGGCGATTGCTCGTGTGAGAGAGCCAATCTCGCGACTTGTTCGGTACACTTTATTAACAAAATATTCGTCACATGCATACGAGATATAAGCAAAATTCAATAGTCAAATATTGATGAGCATATTATAATACTAAAGTTATTTTACAATACATAAATATGTTCATATCCTTCGCAGACCTAGAGCCATAACATGTTTCTCAAATAGGTCTCCAGGTATAGCCTTTTGTAAAAGGATCAGCTATCATGCTTCGCGTAGGAATGTACTGTAAATTTATCTCTCCACTTGCTACTATGTCTCTTACAAAGTTATACTTGATGTCAATGTGTATGGTCTTGATGTGTTGCTTAGGATCTTTTGTATATGCAGTAGCCGCTTGACTATCACAATATAGAGTCGTGGGACCCTGAGAGTTCTTTGTAATATTCAAATGCTGAAAGAATTTCTTCAACCAAACAACTTCTTGTACTGCAGACGTACAAGCCACGAACTCAGCTTCCATTGTTGAAAGGGTTGTACAGGTTTGTTTCTTACTTTTCCATGATATAGCACCACCATTAAGTAAGAAGGCATAACCAGATGTTGATTTTCTATCATTTCGATCACCAGCCCAATCAGCATCTGTACATCCTCTCAAGTATAAATCATTTCCACTATAACATAGTGAATAATCTGCAATTCCCTTCAGGTATCTGAAAATTCTCTTCACAACTTTCCAATGATCTCTTCCATTGATACCTGCTAACTAGACCTACGGCATAACAAATGTCTGGGCGAGTACACATCATAACGTACATGAAGCTCCCGACAGCACTTGAATATGGAACTCGAGACATGTCTTCCTTTTCATTTTCATTCTTGGGACACATTTCAAGGCTTAAAGTTTCACCTCTCGCTATAGGAGTATCCATGGATTTGCAATCATTCATGCGAAAACGTTCCAAAATTTTCTTTATATAAGTTTCTTGAGATAGGCTCAATAACTTTTTGGAACGGTCTCTTTGGATCTTAACTCCAAGAATATAGTGTTCCTCGACCATATCTTTCATGTCAAATGACCTTGAAAGCCATTACTTGATAGTTTTCAAATACTCCAAATTGTTTCAGGCCAATAAAATATCGTTCACATAAAGAGAAAGAATTACAAACATCCCATTGGACTTCTTCACATAAATGCAATGGTCTTCATTGATCATGGTAAAATCATATGAGATCACCTCCTTGTGAAATCTCAAATACCATTGCCTTGAAGATTGCTTCAGACCATAAATAAATCTTTTCTTTTACAGACCTTCTTTTCTTGGCCTTTAACGATGAAGCCTACAGGTTGTTCCATGTAGATTTCTTTGTTCAGTTCACCATTAAGAAAAGTTGTCTTCACGTCCATTTGATGCAATTCCAAATCCAAACGTGCAACAATAGCCAAAAGTAAGTGTATTAAGGTAAACTAAACAACTGGTGAACATATTTCCTCATAATCTATTCTAGCTTCTTGAGTAAAGCCTTTTGCCACCAATCATGCCTTGTATCTTTCTATTGACCCATCCGCTTTGCATTTAACTTTGAGAACCCATTTGTTCCCAATGGCTCTATGCCCAGGCAGAAGGTCAACTAGATCCCAGACTTTGTTGGTTTTCATGGACTTTAATTCTTCTTTCGTTTCTTTCATCCACTCATCTTTTCCAGGGCTCGATAAGGCCTCAGTCACAGACTTTGGCTCATCCATTTCTATGGGAGATACCAAGAAAATATAATCTTCAATTTCATAAGTACATTTGGGTATATTTTTACTGGCACTCTTTTGTAGTTGAAATTTAGGTTCGTTAGAAGGATTTTGGGATTGAGAGTTCCCACTCCCACTAGGATCAAGAATAAGATCTTGATCAATTTGATTATCAACTGTGTCAAAAGACACTTGCTGACTATATGAGTTCAACATTTCATAAAGAGGCTCTCTATTCTTTACCTCGCCCTTCTTTGGAAAATTATTTTCCAGAAATGTGACATCTCGTGATTCAATCTCACTAACACTTCCATTCTCTAATTCACCAATGAACACATACCCTTTGGAGTGTTCTAAATATCTTATGAAGATACATTTCTTGCCTTTGGACCTAATTTACCAAACTTGCTAAAAGATTCTTTTACATATGCAGCACAACCCCAAGGTCATAAATCCTTTAAGTTTGGTTTATGACCAATCAATAGCTCATAAGGAGTGGAAGAAACTGATTTAGAAGGCACTTTGTTCAATATGTAAGTTGCAGTCAATAACGCATCTCCCCAAAAGGAGATAGGTAAATTTGCCTGCGCCATTATGGACCGTATCATGTCCAGTAGTGTTTTATTCCTCCTTTCCGCTACACCATTTTATTGAGGTATGTACGGAATACTTAATTGTCTGGTGATTCCCTTTTCATTGCACAATTCTTCAAATTCTTTTGAAAGATATTCACTCCCTCTATCGGTTCTTAGAGTCTTAATACTTTTGTCTAATTGATTCTTAACTTCATTCAAATATTTCTTAAAGCATTCAAGTGCTTCAGTTTTAT